GGTCAAGGCCCCCCCCCCGCCTGCCGAGGGGGAGGATGTGCTGAGTCGCCCAGGAAGGGCCCAAGGCTCTGCCAGCTTCAGCGGGGACACGGGTGAGACGCACAGGACCTTTGAGAGCACCTTCTGCACTGAACCTGAAACTGCAGACTCCTGGGGAAGCCCCAGCCTGACTCCATCCTTCCTGTTCAATCGCTACCGCGCGGCGACTACAGAACCTCTGGAAACCAGCTCATCCCTGAGGAAGAAGCTCTTCACTGCAGTCACAGCTGGGAGGGCTCACATCACAATTCTGCATTTCTCTGCTGGAGAGGGCAAAAACCCCAACCGGAAGCAGCCAGACCCCTGACCCTGAGTGATGGCGCACAGGGACGGGGCAGCACGTTGACCCCACGGCGTGAGGCTGGCAGGGACCTGCTCCCACCAGCCAGACACGGGACCTTGAGGTGCCCTGATTCCTGCAAACCACCTGCCCAGGCTGGAGCTCAGTGCAGACAGGAGGGACGCAGACTGGGATACAGAGGTCCCAGGTCCTGCCCCTCCCACCAACACCCCTCCGCAGGAGACCAGCGTGAGCAGAGAGCCCGAGGAGATGTTGGCAAAGAGCTGGACTCAAGCCAGGCTGTGACTGGTCTGACTGGTGGGTCACAGGCAGGGGAGCCACTGCCAAACCAGGGGTTAACTGGAATTTTGCTCCCCAGAGCAGCTGTGGGGTTGTGAGCCCTCGACGCCGTCGGAGGAGACCGGGAAGTCTCTGGGAAGCTGCAGCTGTTTTGCTTTGGGGCGAAAGCAGGTGAAGAGGGAGAAAGAACAAAAATCTGCAATTTTTTACTGTTAATAAACTGGATTCCAGACACTCCCCAGCACCTGGTGGCTCACGGGGGGGATGTGTGCGGGGAGGCAGGGGAGGCAAGAGGAGGTCCCTTGGGTTTGGGACATGAGGATGGCACCCCAGCCCTGGCCCTGCCACACGAGAAGTGTCCCCTGGCAGCTCTGTGCCTGGGACCCCCGGGCTGCTCTGACCGTGACACAGCTCAGGTGGGGAAGGAGAAGCCAGAAAATGCACACGGGGGAAAAGTGGCCTCTCCTGAGCCCCTGCCTGATGAAGGAAGCTTTGTGGGGGCTCTGTGACCCCCACGCTGAAGGGGACACAGCCCGGGAGAACCGGGGAGAAGGCTGAGAGAGGAAGGAGAGAACTGAGTGGTGCCCTGCAGCACCTCACCCCTCCGTGACACCTCCCCGTGCAGGGCCACCGGCACCAGGGACATGCGGTCGGGCAGAGAAGCAAGTTTGGGGAGAAAAGAGATCTGTAAGATGGCACGGGTGAACACCAGCAGTGCCAGGGCTGGGGAGGGCACAGAACCTCTCTGACCGTGACACCTACAGACAAGAGTTTCATTGCAAGAGGCTGGTATTTTGGGGACAGCACCTGACAGTGATCATTTTTAGAAAAGCCACGTTCCCTGGCAGGTCACAGGCACCGCGTTCACCCTGAGCCAAACACGCTGACAAGCCAAAGCCATTCCTCCTTCCTGCCCTCGGCAGCTTCCCCCTGTGCACCCCGAGAGCTGAGATGCCACCAGGGCTGGCACAGGCAGCAAACATGGTGGCACACGAAACCCCTGGTTTTGGGGACAAGAAAACAGCATTTAAACCACCTAAATACAGATGAAAGCCCCCATCTCGGTCGCAGTGCCTGGTGGTTTGGGGATGATGGGAAAGGCTCTGTCTCCCCAGGAGTCCCCCCCTGCCCCGCAGAGCATCAGCCAGGACTCAAGAGGGGATGAAGTTGTTCAGCAAAATTTTGAACAAATCATAAATCTTCTCAAATTTCCGATTTTGTGGAGTTTCTGCATTTTTCTTGACCACAATCTCTTTTCTTTAAATCCAGCTGTAGGTGACTGCCAGCTCAAATTCTTGTTGCAAAATTAAAGTGTCGGGGAAGCACTTCTTAAATTTTTTTTTTTTTTTGGATGGTTTCAAGCTCGCCAGAGCTGGGACATTGCTCCATCCCTCCCTGGCCCTGGGGAGGGCACTGAGCCAGAAGAAGCCCCCGAGTGCCCAGTGGCCCCAGCACCCTCCTGTCGACAGGGCAGAGACGCTCGTGGGATGAAGCAGCCTCTTACAGCTGCAGAAGCAGTCGATGGGTCCCCAATTCCTACCCCAGAGCATGAATTGGGGTTGTCTGAGGCTCCGGACCCGGCTGGCAGGCTCCGGGGGGGTGCTGCCCCCTCCCCACGTGTTTTACCACCCCCAAACATAACCCAAGCCGGCAGGATGCTTCAGGAAGACGCGGCATTTGCTGCAAGGGACCAGCTCCACGGGGACAAGGCTGTCACACACGGAGGAGAACCTCATCCATCTCAGGCTGCCCGGTGCTCAAGCAGGCAGAAGAACCCGAGGGAGGGAAGAGCGTCGTAACCTGACAAGCTAATTAGGCTGAAACACGGCTGGTGACACAGGCAAGAAGGCGGCGTGCTCCTGGGCTGCGGGGACAGAGCCGGAGGCTGCTGTGATCTCAGGTCTCACCACACAGAAGGGATGGTGGGAGCAGGGGGCTGTGGGCAGGGAAAGCCAGGAGCACCCGAGAGCCTCAGAGCTCCGGCTGGATCTCGCAGAGCTCCGGGCAGCACCGGTGGCAGGGGCAGCAGGGAGAGATAGATGGTCCCACACTGCTCCAGCACCGGTAAGTGGCTCCTCTCTGAGATGCCCCAGGGGCTGAGCCCACGGTACCCAGGTGTAGGTGGGAGATGAACAATGTCCTGAGCATTTCCAGCGAGCTGCACTGGAGGACAAGCAGAGCTACAAGCAGAGGAGCACCAGGAGGTTATGCCAAAGCTGAGGAAGTGCCACAGGACCTAACTCTCTTCACCAGTCCTTCCCTTTCCCTGTGCCAAAGCAGTACAGCTTCCCCTGAGGGGGGAACAGGCCAGAGAAGCAGAAGGGAGAGATGGACCCTGCTGCTGGGGGTCCCACCGTACTCATTGTCCCCACATCCCCCCCAGGCCAGCACCTGTGCCCCGTCACCCATCCTGCTGACCGGGCTCTGACAGGCAGGTCTGGGCAGCAGCCGGCCCCAGCCCGAGACCATCACAGAGGCTGCTGAGGAGGGATTTAACACCCCCCCAGGGAGCTGACCCCGTCTGCCTACAGAGCTGGGAAGATTCGGGCACCAAGTGTTGAAGGAGAAGGAGAAGGAAGAAACAAGAATAAATTCCCAACGGATGCTTTTCCATTGCTGACTCCAGAGCGGCTGCCACAGCTCAGCACTGCTGAGCACCTCCTCGCTTGCTCCTGCACCTCCGGGGCGCCCGGTGCCACACAGTGGGGCTGCCGGGGGTCTTCCTCCCGCTGAGCACACCGGGGTGGTCTGGAGTGACACTGGGAAGCCCTTGGAGCGAAGGGATCGCTGGCCCAGCCTGGCCACTGGAGCATCTTGCGGAGGACAGGCTCTTGCTGCTCCCCTCCTTCCCAGCACAGAGAGAGGAGCCCACAGGCAGGTGACAGTGGCCACTCCGCATCCCCACAGCACGCAGGGCACACGCCGGGCTGTTTGCCTTCAAGGATGGAGATATGAGGATGCCTTCAAGGATGCTCTGGAGATACAGCAGTGGGCGAAGACAGGGTGTGAAACCACCCCTCTCCCCAGGCCTGCAGCGCTTTGTACTTCCATGGTGGTGGCTCCAGGGTGGGGAGAAGCTGTGGGGAGATGGGGATCCTGCTGCTGTCATGGCTTGCTGAGGGCTGGATCTGGCACATGCCGGGCAGCAGCTCCCCTTCCTGCCACCTTGGGCTCCGCCGGCATCCGCAGGTCCATCTGCCGCCAAGGTCACCACACACAGCGTCCCGCTGCCGCCTTTGCTTCATCCAACTCTGCCTCTTCCCCCTCCTCCAGCTTTGTTCAGTCCCTCTTTGTTCAGTGCTGCTCCTGGAAGCGCTGCTGGCAGCGGGCGCTCGCTCGGACGCGGGGGCAAGAGGCGCTTTCCTCCGCCCTGAGCTCTTGCATCCGTGTGGCTGCTTTGCTTACCTCGAAAGCGCCCCAGTCCCTCGCTCCTCTTCCACCCCCCGAGGCCTGCTCTCTCCCAGCAGCTCCTCCTGGACCTCCACCACGACGCTCCGGACCGGAGCAGCAGCAGGACCACAGCCTCCGGGATCCTCCAGGAGTAAAACAAATCTTGGAGAGCCCCTTGATGGACCTCGATGATGACCTCCCGGGAGGAGCCGCCGAGGGACACTGCAGCAACTTGCTTTGCTGTTTAACTTCCTTTTCCCAAATCAGAAGTGGCCAAAGCAAAGAGATGGCGAATTCAGCGCATGAGTTTGTTTTTTTCATAATGGAAGGTACAAGCCAGGCGAGGAAGAACATCCCCTCGCTGTGGCTACATTCGCTTTTAGTGGCTTTCAGAGCCGAATCTGAGAATTCCTCTCTTTATATCCAGTCTCTCTTAATACAATTTTAATATTCTGGTTGATCCTAAAGATGCAACGTTAACTATAGAAACAGCAGCAGAAAAGCATGGGGTACAAGACATTTTTTTTATACAAAAAAAAATTCTTTTCGTTGCTTACAAAACATATGCAAAAGAAGCTAAAAAAAAAACCAAAAAGGCATTGCTATTTGTTCTACATAAAAAATCTCATAACTAATGTTCTTTTTTTTTTTTTTTTAAAAAAAAGAAATATCAAGCTTAGGCACAATTTTGCTGCTGGCTGCTTGTGAACAAGCCAAGAGAACACGCCACCCCCTCCTAACTGAGTGATATGTATTGACTGTTCCGCACTTTATACTTAAGGCAATTTTTTTGTTTGTTTTCGTTTTGTTTTTTGACAAAAAGTGTTTGTTTTTTTTTCCACCCCTTACGTCATGCCAGGATCCGTCCACGTGTGTCAGTATTAGCAGTACTAAAGTTTATGGTTCGAGAAGGTTGCAGGTCACACCGAGGGTTTTCTTCCTACAGATCTCTCTATCCAGAGGGACGAAAAGATCTACAAATTAAAAAAAACAAATAATCAAAAACCAAAAAGCCTGAAGTGAGAGAAACCCAAATGAGAATAAAACTCTGCTCTTTGCATGGAGGGGCTGCAATTCCCTTTCTCCAGCCCCTCATCTCTGCAGAAGTCAGCCCCGAGGGCTCCACGTGGCTGGGACATGAGCCCCCTGTTCTGCCTTTTTTTCCCCAGGGCAGCCCCGGGCACCCAGTGGCACCAGGATGACGCTGGGGGACTCTGGACCTTGCTGATGGTGTCACCACTCCTGGATCTGCTCAATGCCCACCCCGACGTCCCCACACTGCTCGGGCCAAAGGGGCTCAGCTACTCCTGGCCACGCAGGGGGTGTCCTTAGAAATGGGCACAGCCCAGCAGAGCCCGTGCCCACCACGGTCTGGTGGGAGAACTTCCACCTTCTGTGTCACTTCTGGGACCTGCCCCATCCCTTCCATAGGTCCACTGTGCAAAGGAGTTGCTGGTTTCCAGTAGCCAGGGGAGGCTACTGGGGCTACTGGAAAGCTACTGGGGAGGTTCAGAGCAGAGCTGAGCCCTCTCAGGGTGGTGAGAGCATCGAAACCCTCCGTCCCAGCTACAGGGCTGCCCCTCTTCTGTGGGGCAGAGGCTTTGGGACATGCACAGGGCAAGGGAAATTAAGGAGGCCACTGGCCAGTGCCAAACAAGTGGGGCTGAGCAGCCGAAGCAGAGTGAGACGCGTGGGGTGTGGGACCCGCAGTGGGGCAGGGAGGGGACACACGGTACCTTTACATGTGTCCAACAGGGTTGTGACCATCTCCTAGCCCAGGATGTGAAGCTGAAAGTGTCATCTGGGGATCTCCTACTACTCCGGACACTTTCTCCTCTTCCCGACGCTTCAAGCAGGCGGCTTTAGGGTTGAGATTGCGCTCTGGGCCAAAAACAGCAAGGGAGGGAAGGAGGGAAGCGACCTCAGTCTGGGCGACAGCACCGCGCAGGGCAGCAGCAGCCGAAGGAGAGAGCGAGGACAGAGCCCCGGGACGGACGGACAGACAGACAGACAGACGGGACCATGCGAGCTCAGCACAAGCCGCTCCGTGCCCGTGGCTCCTGCAGCAGGAATCCAACCAGCTCCCCCCTGCCCGAGCAGAGCCCCCTGCCCGGCTGGGACACCGCGCCACTCCACGACGTGCTTGCGTACGGAGAAGCCCCGGGTGCCTCATCCCGCTCTCGGGAGTCGAGGGCTGAGTTTTCCAAAGCCGCTTAACGGGATCCAGGTGCCGAATCCCCATGAAGCAGGAGGGGAGATGGGACAGAGCAGCCTGGAATTCCCCATCCTGCACTTTGGAAAGCTCAGCCCGCCCCGCAGGGCACCCCGGGGTGCTGCTGGTGAGGGACACGCACGCCCCGGCACCCAAAGCAGGAGTCACAGGAGATGCCCGCGCAGGCAGAGATGTTGAGGAGGGAGGAAGGGGGAAGAGAAAAGCCCCGAAAGGCCCCTGCCAGCTGTTACCATACCTCGTACTTGCTGCTCCAGGCCCAGAATGACCTGCACCGCTTGCTGTAGGATGATCAGTTTGGTCTGTGCTTTGTCCGTTTTTAAGTGCATCTGACACATGCGTCCCAGTTCTTTAAAGGCCTCGTTAATGTCCCGCACGCGCACCCTCTCCCTGGCGTTATTGGCCATTCTCCTCTCCCGGTCCCTCAGATCTTTGTCCTCCAGTGACAAGGCCTCGTCTGTACTGCTGGGTTCATAGCACCACAGGGGTTAGTCAGGGGGGGTGGTACCGGGTTGGGGAGGGGGGGGCTATACGTTGCCGTGCTGGTAGTGCTTCTGGTGTCCACTGGGAACGGCTCAAACGGCCTCACTTTCCAAAGCCAATTCCTCTCGGGCCCCTCCTGGAGCCTCCTGGGCCATTGGGGCTGCGTATGGCCCCCAGGAGCCACGCCAAGGTGCTGCCAGCACGGGGCCGGGGGGGCTGCGGGGGGCGAGGGTGGGCACCGGGGCAGTACCGGCACCCGCGCCCTCCCCCTCTGCCAAAGTTCACCTTTCTGTTCGTTTTCGGCTGAAAACTAAAAGTTTGGGGCGGGGGGAGGGGTAGGGGAGTCTCAGCTGAAAACATCAGGTTCAGCCCCCAAGAAAAAAGACTTTCCGGGCAGAAAGCAAATCCCTCTTTGTAAGATTTCCTTCAAAAAAATCCCACCTGCAGCAAAACCCTCCCAAATTTCAGGCAGCCCTACCCCAGCCTGGCCCGGCACCCTCTTACGGGTGGGTGGCAGCCCCGGGGGCAGGAGCTGAGGGTCGGTCTCGGATGCAGACACTGAATCCAGGTCCTTTGACACAGCCCAGACCCCTCCAGAAGGGGATGATTTTCTTTTCCAGGCACGGGCAGGAGCTTTGGGAGAGCCCCCACCGCCGGCAGCACCACGGGGGGGCCCAAACCAGGCAGGGATGGGGAGGGGGAAGGCAGAGTCGTGCTGGCAGCATCTTGAACCGTGGCCTCGCCCGCAGCCCGTCCCCTCCAAACCCCCAATTTACTGTCCAGACGACCTTCTCCCCCAGAGCAAAAATTCTTCAGGAAAGACACCTATCTGAGGAGGGTCCTTGGGTGAGACCTGGCACTGGGGACACTGTGGCTTTCGGCTCCCCCCCTTGGGGACAAGCCTTCACCGAAGAGGGGCCGCAGAGTCAGAGCCTTCCTGGCTGCGCCGGGGGGGCTGGGGAGCCTCCGGATGGTGCCCGACCATGGGGAGGGGGAGCAAGGGCTCCCCGGGTGAGCGTTTGCCCGTGTGGGACAGAGAGTGGCCCACTGTCCCTGCCTGCATCCTCTCCTCGCTGCCTTGTCCCTGCCCGTGTCCCCTCTTCACTGCCCGGGCGGCCCAGCTGGCACTGCCACCTTCTCTCCAGGACGCCTGGGGTGGCCGGGGGAGCGGAGCCACCAGCCATCCTGTCACCTGAGCCCAGGGGTGGTAGGAACCCAGCTCGTTCCTCCAGACACCCACTGGCAGCCACCATTCCTGGCTGGTGGCTCCCCGCAGCGGGGCCACAGCTCCGGCAGCACCTCGCAGGCCACAGCCAGGCGGGACAGAGCCACCTCCTCGCCACCAGCAAGTGCTGCCGGGGGTTGGCACGGCCATGCCAGACCCTCAGAAGGATGGGTGGTCCCTTGGCTGCCTTGTGCCCCACTCAAAGGGGGCACTGACCCGCCTGCCTGGGGCCCTCAGCTCTCCTCCTTCCCCTTCCATCCCCAGCAGGAGGATCCTGGCAGCCCCCACGGGGCACGGGGGACCCGATGGCCCCGCTCCCATGGCAGCCCTGCAGGAGGGGACACCTTCTTGGGCCCAAAGGCCAAAGCCACCGGAGAGGGGACACCTTCACTAACGCCTGCTGAGAGCAGGACGGGGGCTCGTCTCGCCCCTCGCCCCCGGCTGCCTCCAGGAAGGGTTTTAAAAAGGGACAAGCGATGGAGACCAAAGTGACCACGGTGCCAACTCTGTCTGACCCCTGCCCCCCCGCCCCCCCCTCGGCTCCTGCCTCCATCCGCAAGCAGCAAGTACAAGGTAGAGAGTGGGACCACCGAGAGGTCACGGCTGGGGACTGTCTGTAGGAGATCGGAAAGAACAGAACCGAAAAATAAAAACTCGAAATAAAATTAAAAAAAAAAAAAAAAAAAAGGAAGGGGAAATTAAAAAAGAGACAGGAAAAAATATACATGTTATGAAAGGCAAAAAATTACAAACTGAAGAGAGGCACAAAGGACTCCAACATCAATGCAACAGCAGAGGCCAGCAGAGAGGAGCACAGCCAGGCACAAACCACCGATGCGTGTTACAACAGCCTCTGCAGAGAGAAAGGGGGTTAACCTGCCGCGGCCCCCTGCGCTGCGGGGCCGGGAGCGGGCACATGCACTGCGGGATGCGGGGACAAAGCAGCCGAGTCCTCGGAGCGGGAAGCCAAGCCCTCTGCTTCCCTCCCACCGGGGACACCGGCGGGGGAAGGAGGGTCCCCGGGGCGCGGGGAGGGAGCCGTGTCCCGGTGAGGGGCTCCAGGCTCCGCCGGGGATGCGCAGCGCTCCCAGCTCGCGTTGGAGACGAGTTTGTCCAGGCAGTGAGGGCTGCACAACCCGGGGCTCGGCGTCGCCGTCCCGCTGCCCCTCGCAGGGCTCCAGCGACGCCCCGGGGTTTGCCGGGTGCCCGCAGAGCCAGGGGCACGGTGTGGGGACGGGGGCACAGAGCGGGACGACGGGGCATCGCTGGGCAGAGACAGGCTCTGTGCTGGGAGAGACGTCAGATCTGGGCCCCCACTGGGAGATTTGCTGGTTTTTTTGTGGGGTTTTTTTGGTTTTTTTGGTTTTTTTTGTTTTTTCATTTTCCTGGCCAAGCAGCAGAGCCAAAGCCCTGGCTGCAGGAAAGCGAGGACGGCGCAGGTGCCCCCTCGGGGCCCGGCATGCAGCACACGCAGCGGCAGCAGGGAACGGGAGAGAGAACAGCAGGGATGCAAAAACGGGGAGGGGAGGGGGGAAAAAAAACAACCAAAAACGAAAAAGGGGGAAAAAAACAACCAAAAACCAAAAGGACATCAACAGCCTTGGGAACCCAAGGCCACAGGGGAGAGAGACAGTGCGAGGCACCACAGCACGTGTCACAGGAGACAGACAGACAGACAGCCCCGTGCCGATCAGATACGTAAAATATCACCACTCCGGGACCCTCACTGACCTCTAACTTGTTGCTCCAGGTTCAGTATGACTGATACGGCCTGGTGGAGGATTAGCAGTTTGGTCTGCGGTTTTTCGCTGTTTAGGTGGAGTTGGCACATGCGTCCGAGCTCTTTAAAGGCCTCGTTGATGTCACGGACCCGCAGGCGCTCACGGGCATTATTGGCGACCCTCCTTTCTCTCTCTCTCTCGGCTTTTTGCTCTGGGGGAAGAAGATCGTCCTCCTCATCCTCATCTTGACTAATGGTTTAAAATAAGAACGAGACAGGGACATTCCTCGCGTGCACTCTCAGCACTGGTCAACTCACAGCAAAGAAACACATGTGGGGACACCCAGACGCCAAGCCCCGCGTGTGGCCCCCGCACTCGGACACGGGGACACGCAGTGACTTTGGAGACAAGCGATTATTGCTCTTCTTCTGCCTCTTTTTTTTTTTGTTTTGGTTTGTTTTGTTTGTAAACGACAAAGAAAGAAACCACAACCAAAGCGATTAAGGCCTGAGCTTGCTGCTGGGAGGCTGCAGGGCGGCCCGGAGAAGGTGTGGGGCCAACACCAGTGTCCCAGGCTGGCCTTTTGGGAAGATGCAGCCCTCTGCCCCCAGGGCAGGAGGTGGCCACTGTCCGGAAGGAGCGGGGCTGGCGCTGCCCCCTCCGGGCAGCATCACCCTGGCGAGGTCCCCGAGCCGATGGCGAGGTTGCAGACAAGCCAGCGCGCTGGAAGGACCCTACCTGACCCGCTGTCACCTATCTGGCTGGATGTGACAGAGGACACAGGAGCCCGGAGCAGATGGTGGAGAGGAGCCGAAGCAGGGAGGGGGTCAAAACCTTCCCTGCCCCCCGCCGAGGGGAGCTGAGCGCTCACTCCCTTCCACGCACGGCCCCAAGCAACGCCACGAGTGACCATGCAGGTGGGTGCAGCTCGTGTGGCCACGGTGTGAGCCCTCTGCTTTAAGAGCAGGAGGAAGCCCTGTGGCCACGGGGATGGGAGCCAGCAGGAGAGGGTGGCAGGGACCCCTTCCCAGCACGGCCCGAAGCAGCCGGTGGTGGGGAAGCAGCAGGAGCCTGGGCTGTGCCATCTGGTTGAGGATGGCCAAGGCCCCCGGGGAGGGCAGGGGCTGGTGGGGCTGCACCACAGGACACCCCTGGCATCACTGGGCAGAGCCCAGCACCCGGGGGGTCACCGCAGCCAGACCCCAGCCCAAATGCCCCGGGCCTGGGAACGGAGTAAGCAAAGGGAGAGACCTGTTCAAAGAGCACCTTGTTCTGTTCCGGGAGGGTTTCAGCTCCTTCTTCTCCTCTTCCGAGTTATCTGCCACCGACGTGTTCTCTTCGTCCTCCTTCTCTTCCCTCTTGATTTCGCTGGTTCCCGAGGAGACGCTGCTTCGCCCCAGCCCCCCTGACAAACCTGCTGGGGAAGCAGAGCCACCAGGGAGGTTGGGGGGGCTTGACCCACAGGGAGGGCTGGGGGTCCCCAGGCCCTGCTCCCGCTGCGCTGCATCCCCAGCGCCCGGAATCCCAGCCCCATCCCAGCATCCCAGCCCCATCCCGGCATCCCAGCCCCATCCCGCATGGCCGGTCTGCAGCAGGAGGAGCTGGAGGGGAGCCAGCTCTGCCCCGACACCACTCTCCATTCTTCTCCCACCTCCCAGACCTTCCAGAGTCAGAGCCCAACCTCCTGGCCAGCAGAGCACGGCCAGGGGGGTCTGTGCACCCAGAGCTGGCAGGAGGGACAGGAACACAGAACCATAGAATGGTTTGGGTTGGAAGGGACCGTAGAGATCATCGAGTCCCAACCCCCCTGCCCTGGGCAGGGACACCTCCCACCACACCAGGTTGCTCAAAGCCCCATCCAGCCTGGCCTTGAACCCCTCCAGGGCTGGGGCAGCCACAACTTCCCTGGCCAACCTGTTCCAACATGTAGGTCAAATCTCCAGAGAAGGCTCAAGGTAGAAACTATAAGGAAGCACTGGCTTTGCAAGAGCACCCACATCCCCCCGTGCTGCTGCTGCTGCGTGGGGCCGGACCCCCTGGGTGCCCCCCGTGGCAGGTGAGCCCCAAGCGTGGGGCGCTGCCTTACCGCTGTAGGTGTCCTGCTGCCGGCTGAGATCGGGGAGCGAGCTGGGCTGTGACGGCAGCGCGACGTGGTTGTGGAGCAGGCTGGGGTTGCTGGACAACCCGTCCTCGGGGTGACCTCCTCCCACCTACAGTGGAAAAAGCAGAGCAAGCCTTGAGGGGGGAGGCGGTGTCACGGCCGGTGGGCATGGGGACAGTCACCCCACGCAGCGCCGCAGGGCTCCGTGGGCACAGCCACGTGTCCCCCTCACACGCTGCCACCACCCCGAGCACGGGCAGCGGGAGGGAAGAGCCACCCTGCTCCAGCACCAGCTCTGCCCTGGGGACGGTGGTGGGGACACTGCAGAAAGCAGCCCCACACCCTGCACATTGGCTGGACCGAGCAGAAAGCCCCCACCAGTGCTGTCCCCCCCCCCCACCGTGGAAAAGCCTCTCTGCCCAGATGCAAGGCTGGCACCTGGAGAAGACCCTGTGTTCTGTTTCAACCAAGCACCAACGTTTCTGCCACCTCCCCAGTGCCACCAGAGCAGGGGACATCCCAGCAGGTGAACTTCACCCTGAAGGGCCTGGATGCAAGGGGTGACGGCCAGGCAGCCCTTCTGAGCTTGCACTGTCCCCCAGGCTGCTCTGCAGGGGCCAGGGACAGGCAGGACAGAGCCAGCCCTGCTCCAGACACTCGTTTCTGTGGCAGGCAGAGTTTGCAGCAGAGGACACCACCCGTATATTTCACCGTGGTCCTTGCAGAGCCCGGGGAGCTCAGAGGGGAACCACATCTGTTCCTCCAGAGACTGGAGATGTGTTACCCCGGGCTGCAGCAGGCACCCAGCTCTGCCAACAACGTGATCCTGGGGAAGGGGGCACCCTGGTGACCCAACACGGGACCCCAGCATCCACGTGCTCAGGGCACAAGGGATCTGTTGTGCTCCCTGAAGCCTGAATGAACCATCCCACATCAGCGCTCCCCACGGGCACGGCAGGACATGGTGACAGCCACCAACGGGAGCAGAGAAGTCCTGGAGATACCTGGCTCTTTACCCGTGCTCCTGCCCTGCATCATATCCCTCTCCTCCTTCTCCCTGCATCCCGGGAATGCCTTCTTTGAGGGATTTCCATCCATGTTGCAGGGAGAGGAGAAGGGCTTTCACCACCTCTGCCTGCCCTGAGAAGGGGCATGAGTGAGCTGCAAGCAGGGCTTGTGCACAAGAGCCACCACAGTCCTGAAAGCAGACTCAAACCCCCTGCAGGAACAGGCCAAGACCCCGCGCTGCCACACACACCACCCGCTCAACACTGTCAGCAGCTGACACGAGCTGGACCACACTGAGCTATTCTCACACCAATGTCCCTCGGGACGCCAGGGGATGCCGTGACGTGGGTCCCCAGCAGAAAATCACAGACTGGTTTGGGTGGGAAGGGACCTCAAAGCCTCCCCAGTGCCACCCCCTGCCCTGGGCAGGGGCACCTCCCACCACACCACGTTGCTCCAAGCCCCCTCCAACCTGCCCTTGAACCCCTCCAGGGATGGGGCAGCCACAGCTTCTCTGCCCAACCTGGGCCAGGCTCTCCCCTCCCTCACACCAAACAAGTTCTTCCCCACAGCTCAGCTCCATCTCCCCTCTTGCAGGGTCCAACCCTTCCCCCTCCTCCTAGGGCTCCCCTCCCTCATCCAGAGTCCCTCCCCAGCTTTCCTGGAGCCCCCCTTCTTTAGGGACTGGAAGGGGCTCCAAGGTCTCCCCGCAGCCTTCTCTTCTCCAGGCTGAACCCCCCCAACTCTCTCAGCCCCCCCTCCCAGCAGAGGGGCTCCAGCCCTCCCAGCATCTCCGGGGCCTTCGCTGTGCGATGCTCCCACACTCACCAGACTCGGGTGCCTGTTCCCCAGGGACATGACCGCAGCGGGGAAGGCCTGGCCCAGGCTGCCCACGGTGGCACTGTGAGCGGGCGCCGAGCCCAGGAGCCCGTGCATGTCCCCGTGGTTGCTCGGCATGGCGGCCGTCTGGCCCACGGCGTGATTCCTCAGCACGTGGATGGCTTCGTCCAACCTGTCTTCCATTTTGTTTTGCTTGAGGGACAGAAGAGAGAAATAGGACTGTGTTAGCACCCGTAAAGCCTGGTGGCAACCATGCACACAGCTCCGGCAAGGCAGGTTCGGGGAGGAATAACCAACCCCCAACCCTGTCAGGGCCGTCCCCTAAGGGTCACACAAACGGAACCGCTTGGGAAAGGGAGGCAGAAACCTCACTTTGGCCAGAATTGTGCTCCTTGGGTCCGAACGAGGGAGGGTGCAGGGCTGTGGAGCTGGGCTCTGGGCACCCAACTCCCCTCAGCTGCTCCCAACCAAACCTCCATCCCCCAACCCACCACCTTCCGTCAGGAACCAGCCCATCGGGGGAGAGGGCTCTACCCAAAAGCCTTTCCCCGCCAGGTTCCCGAGGGATGGAAGAGCAAAGGAGAAAGCAGATCTGTCGGCGACACTTACTAAAGTGTGGAGGCTCCCTTCGTAGCTGGGAGATAAGGCACCCTGTCCGCTCGCTCGCGACCACTGGGATGTGCCTGCGAACAGACGGGGAGAGCTTGGGACCGGGCACGGCTGCCACTAGATGGGGCTGGAAGATGGGCCACCACGCTCTGCACGGGCCACCACGCATCGCTCGGGGCCACCACAGCACCACAGGGCTGCATGGGCCACCAAGGCACTGCACAGCACTGCACGGGCCACCACGGCATCAAACGGGCCACTGTGGCACCACATGGCACCACATGGGCTGCAACAGTACAGACCACCACGGCATCATATGGTACTTCACTGGCAACCATGACATGGGCCACCACAGCACCACAGGGCTGCATGGGCCACCAAGGCACTGCACAGCACTGCACGGGCCACCACGGCATCAAACGGGCCACTGTGGCACCACATGGCACCACATGGGCTGCAACAGTACAGACCACCACGGCATCATATGGTACTTCACTGGCAACCATGACATGGGCCACCACAGCACCACACAGCACCACAAGGGCCACCATGGCACCACTTGGGCCACCATAGCACTGCATGGCACTGCATGGGCCACCATGACATGGGCCACCACAGCACCACACAGCACCACAAGGGCCACCATGGCACCACTTGGGCCACCATAGCACTGCATGGCACTGCATGGGCCACCATGACATGGGCCACCACAGCACCACACAGCACCACAAGGGCCACCATGGCACCACTTGGGCCACCATAGCACTGCATGGCACTGCATGGGCCACCATGACATGGGCCACCACAGCACCACACAGCACCACAAGGGCCACCATGGCACCACTTGGGCCACCATAGCACTGCATGGCACTGCATGGGCCACAACAGCATGGGCCACCACAGCACTGCATGGCACTGCATGGGCCTCAACAGCACGGGCCACCACGGCATCAAACGGGCCACTGTAGCACCACATGGCACTGTATGGGCCACCACAGCACCACACGGGCCACCATGGCACCACATGGGCCACCACGGCACCACATGGCACTGCATGGGACACCATAGCACCACACAGCACCATACAGGCCACCATGGCACCACATGGGCCACCATAGCACCGCATGGCACTGCATGGGCCACAACAGCACGGGCCACCACGGCATCAAACGGGCCATCACAGCAATGCATGGCACTGCATGGGCCACCACAGCACTTAATGGGTCATCACAGCACCATGTGCCACTGCATGGGCCACCACAACATGGGCCACCACGACATGGGCCACCACAGCACTGCATGGCACTGCATGGGGCCACCATGACATGGGCCACCACAGAACCACACAGCACCACACGGGCCATCATGGCACCACATGGGCCACCACAGCACCACATGGCACTGCATGGGCTGCAACAGCACGGGTCACCATGATACCACGGGCCACCACGGTACCACAGGCCACCACGGCACCACATGGCACTGCATGGGCTGCAACAGCACGGGCCACCATAGTACCACAGGCCACCATGGTACCACAGGCCACCATGGTACCACAGACCACCACGGCACCACACGACACTGCATGGGCCACCACAGGACTTCATGGACCACCATGGCTCACCCGTGCTCTGTCTCAGCAGAAACCTGAGCTCAGGCTTTCAGACCTCGGGAGGTTTTGACACGTCTGGGTGCCAGCGAGTGGCCGCAGCACCCCAGCCCCAGGGCAGGCTCTGTGTGCTCTGCACCCCAGGAGCCTCGGCTCCAGCACTGCTGGGCAGAAACGAGACCTCTCCTGCTGGTGCCCAGCAGAGATGGGCTTTCACCAGGCACTGACAATAGTTTTTAATGAGTTGGCTGCTTCCCAGTTCCCACCGTGCTCCTCCCCCAGGAGATAAAACCAGGGACAAATTCTCCCAAGATGTCTTGGGGTCTGTCTGAGCGGCAGGAGCGGGTCGTATGGGGCAGCAGTGATGCTTTAACTCCAGACTGCTGTGGGGCTACCGTGTGGGACAGGCTCAAACTCCTAAAACTCCTCCGCAGGGACAGAGCCAGGCGCCAGCAGGGCCATCGCCCTCTCGCCCGCGGTGCTCACCCCCCCTGGGCACAGCTCGGCCCCAACGGGGGAAAACCTACAACTGGTTAAAGCAGAGAGACATGCAACTTTACAGGAGACACTTAAAAACCACCTTCGAGTTTCCTCGTGTCCTTTCTCTTCACTCTCCTCTTTTAAAACTACATGGGATTTGGTGAGATTGCTAAAATTGTGTTTAATTTAGGGGTTTGGGGCTGGGAAGCCTTGGAGCTCCTGACAACACACCCGACACCCCCCCCTTTACACAAAGAGCAACGTTTCTCACCTACCTGCAAGCCCCTGGGGGGAGCCGACCGGTGTGGAGGGGTTTGAGGAGAAGTTATTGCTAGAGTGATCGGGGGAATAAATCTGGAGGGAGAGAAGGGGGGCACGGTCAGCAGCGCCCACCCCTGCACGGCCCTGCCCTCCCCAGCCCTGCCACCGAGCGAGGACCACCCCATGGACCTCCCTTCCCACACCCACACCAGCTCCCAGCCATGGCCCAGCACCTGCTCCCCCCACGGGTCCCCCATTAACGCTGGGGGCTCTCTCTGTCCCCTCTGCCACCCTCTGGTCCCACCTCACAGGGAGGGGAGAGTCCAAGGAATGACCACTGGCACCCCTCTGCCACCGTGCAGGAGCAAATGTCCTTGCCCTGGAGGAGACAGAGGAAACCCCAAGCTCTGACAGCCCAGTGGGACCAGTGCCTTCCAGTTTGAGGCAGCACACACAGGGACAGGACTACCAGGACCCACAAGTCCTGCTCCGAGGGCTGTGCAGGGTCATCTGGCCAGTCCAGTACCGGACCGGGTGGCCACAGAGCCAGCTCATGGGTCTGTGGGGCCACCGTAATGTCCTGTGCCTCAGTTTCCCCATCTGCCAGAAGGTGCTTTAGCACAGCGCCAGGGCTCAGGACGGCAGCACACGGCGGGGGGGAAACCCAACCCTCAGAGGTTGCCGTGCTTTTTGGGCTGCATTCACCCAAACTTCTCCATGTGTCCATCCTCCCCCCTGCCCAGAGGGTCCCTGTTACAGAGGGGGGGTCCAACCAGGTTGAAGATCTGCAGAAACTCTTACTGAAGCTAATGCCTTCCCGAGCGCGTCTCCCGAGCTCCCAGCTGTGGTTCCTCTGTTACCTGCAGAGAGAGGACACGGGCGTCACTGCCAGGACACCAGAAACCAGCAGGACAAGGCACCCACCCGTACACCACCTTCTCTGAGGTCACCTGCTCTGGGATGGACATTTCTTGCTTTTACTGCTTTGCTTGAAAACCAAACGTGTGCCCAGCTCAGAGCACGGACGAGGGGGCACACACGCCCCGGCAGCTCTCGTGGGGCTGCAGGAAGGGCTTGGTGAGACGCTGGGTTGAAGGCATCACACCATCAACGGCAATCAAGTGTCTCTGGCCTGTTTTCATGGGGCATCTTAAGCCCCGAACTTGTTTTCCCTCCTCTAAACCAGGGTTTTTCTATGATTCAGGGTCAAGATCCTCCATTCCCTGGGGAACGGGAGTGCATTTCGGTGCCGGGTTTCGGAACAGGTTCAGCAGGGTTAGAGATGAGAGCACTCGGGGGGTTAAGGTGGTATCCAAAGGCAGCACAAACATTCCTATTCCAGATTTAGATGAACGGCTTCACACACCCTCCCCGCCTCCCCACACCTCACTAAAGCCACAGCACCTCCCAGAGATAGTGTCACAGGTCCTGGTGTCCTCCCAGATCCACCACGTGCACTGTCACCCCCCTACCAGCACCCCATCCCCTGCCCCACCCCACCATCCCGCAGCCATAACCTCGCTGCTCCTCTTCCTCGCTCCATGCACGGGGGACACACAAGGGATAAAAGCATCCGGGTGCACGGGACACAGATGTCACCACCTCGGGCACCAGAGGTTTGCACAAGACTCTGATTTTCCAGTTAAACCACGGGAATAGAGTGAGGGGGGTGACACCGGGGCCGTACGTACCCATCATAGTGTCGGTCCCGCTGATGGGGGGCGTGTGACTGGAGACACCGTAGGGCGTGGAGGCGGAGGAGAAGCCGGACACCGAGGGGAGCCCACCGTTAACCTCTCCTGAATGAAGCTGGTAGTTCTGGCAGAGAGGGGGAAAAGGGTGAGAGGTGCCCTCGAAAGGCTGCCAGGCTCCAGCGCCCCGGCAGGACCCGTGGGCAGCCCAGCTACGGGACAATTTCACTGAATTTCACTGAGTTTGTAGAGTTGGAAGGGACCATAGAGATCATCTAGTCCAACTCCCCTGCCAAAGCAGGACCACCCAGAGCTTGTCAGAGCATGTTACTCAGGAGCATCCAGGCGGGGCTTGAAAATCTCCAAAGAAGGGGACTCCACACCCTCCCTGGGCAGCCTGTTCCAGGGCTCTGCCACCCTCACTGTGAAGAAGTTTTTTCTCCTATTTGAGTGGAACCTCTTCTGTTCCAACTTGTGCCCGTTGCCCAGCGTCCTCTCACTGGGAACCACTGAAAAGAGTCTGGCTCCCTCCTCCCTCAGCCCGCCCTTGAGATACTTGTCAGCATTAATAAGGTCTCCCCTCAGCCTTCTCTTCTCCAGACTAAAGAGTCCCAGCTCTCTCAGTCTCTCCTCGTAAGGGAGATGCTCCAATCCTTGAATGATCTTTGTTGCCCTTCGCTGGACTCTTTCCAGTAGTTCCCTGTCCTTCTTGAACTGGGGAGCCCAGAACTGGACGCAGGATTCCAGTTGTGGCCTCCCCAGTGCAGAGTGATGTGCCACCAGTGCAGGGTGATGTGCCACCACCCTCTGGCCGAGCGGAGCCCCCAGCCCACCCCCGGGGGGGACACCTGGGGACACGTTACCATGCGTTCGTGCTGGTGTAAACTGTTGAAGCCACCGGACTGCGGGAGCGGGGAGGAGGAGCTGCCCAGCATGGCACCGTAACTCGACTGGCTCATGGCACCCGGAGAACTCCACAGGTCTGGCGAGTTGTGGAGCCCGTCTGGAAGGGAAGCCAGAGGTGAGAGCGGGGCAGACGGCGGTGTGTGTCCCACAGCCCCCGTGGGGACAAATCCACCCGGGCTGAGGGGCTGTGTCTGCCCCCATCACATCCTGCCTACGCCGAGCATCGTGCTCTGAGCACATCAGAGCCTTTTTGGGGCTGCTCCGTGTCCCACGTGCTCCTGCCCCCAACTCCCTCCATCCCATGGCCATGAAATTCCTCCCGGCATCCGTAACGGGGGGGGGGCAGCCCCCGCTCTGCCGACCTGCAGGACGCCGGGGTCACCAATAACCCACCTGCCATATAAAAGGCTCCGGGATACACAGTGCTGGGAGGTTTGGAGGGGGTATATCCAGCTGGATCCCTGCTGTAGTCATCACCTGAGTTGGATGGATACACCTGTGGGGTGGGAAAGGGGTTAAAGAGAAGGGCTGGGCCACCCCACAGCCCCCCAGACCCCCAGGGCTCACCCCAGCCCGTGCAGCCACGCTTGTGTTCATGGCAGCAGCCGACAGAGTCACCCCCGCAGCAAAGCCCGGGGAGGGGGACACCAAGGAGCTCAGGGGACGGGGACATCACGCAGAGGTGTCATAGTATCATAGAATCATTGAGGTTGGAAGAGACCCTTGGGATCATCGAGTCCAACCATCTACCCTACTCTACAAAGTCCTCCCCTACACCATGTCCCTCAGCACTGCATCTAAACGGCCCTTAAACACAGCCAGGGATGGGGACTCCACCCCCTCCCTGGGCAGCCTGTTCCAATGCCCGACCACTCTTTGGGTGAAAAATTCTTTCCTAATGTTCAATCTAAACCTCCCCTGTTGGAGCTTGAAGCCGTTCCCTCTCGTTCTGTCACTAATTACCTGTGAGAAGAGACCAGCACCAACCTCTCTACAGTGTCCTTTCAAGTAGTTGTAGAGAGTGATGAGGTCTCCCCTCAGCCTCCTCTTCCTCACACTAAACAGTCCCAACTCCCTCAGCCGCTCCTCATACGATTTGTTTTCCAGCCCCCTCACCAGCTTCGTTGCCCTCCTCTGCACTCGCTCCAGCACCTCCAGATCTCTCTTGGATTGAGGTGCCCAAAACTGGACACAACACTTGAGGTGTGGCCTCCCCAGTGCTGAGTACAGGGGCACAATCACCTCCCTACTTCTGCTGGTCACACTATTTTTGATACAAGCCAGGATGCCATTGGCTTTCTTGCCCCCCTGGGCACACGGCCGGCTCATATTCAGCCCTTTGTCAACTAGAACCCCCAGGTCTCTTTCCTCCAGGCAGCTCCAGCCACACTTCCCCCAGCCTGTAGCGCTGCAGGGGGTTGTTGTGGCCCAAGTGCAGGACCTGGCACTTGCCCTTGTTGAAACTCCTTCCATTGGCATTGGCCCAGTGATCCAATCTATCTAGATCCTCTTGCAAAGCTTCCCTCTCCTCCTGGGAGTCAACACTCCTGCTTAACTTGGTGTCATCTGCAAACTTGCTGATGTTACACCTTATGTCCTTATCGAGATCATCAATAAAGACGTTAAATAGAAATGGTCCCAATACTGAGCCTTGAGGCACACCACTTGTGACCGGCCTCCACTCTTTGGGACCTTCCAGTCAGCCAGTGCTTGATCCAGCAAGTGTCCCCTCTGCCTTCCCGACGCAGCGCAGACCCCGCAGCCCCCCCCCGCAGGGGACCCCGGCACCAGCAGAAGTTTCATCTCCCTGCTCTAGTTCCCTTTTCCGCGGTTATAACTTTTTATGGGTAACCACAAAAGCCATCGTTGCTGCGTCCCAGCCCCGCACCCCAGGGCGGTGACAGGGACGGGGGAGGCTTCGGGACCTGCTCACCCCTGCGCCGACACCAGGAGCAGCCCCCAAACTCGAGCCCTCCAGGGAGATCAGCCTGTCCCACTCGAGGGGAAACTGAGGCACGAGGGCAGCCGAGGGCTCGTCCCTCAAAAGGGATGTCACACGGGAGGGGATGGCTTTTGGCCAGATTTCAGTTACGTTATTTAACAGCATATTAAGTAAAAACGAAAGCCTTTTTTTTTGCCTTCTAAATTAACCAAACCCATCCTAGAAAGCCCTGTCGGAAAATCACCCCCTGCCAGCGCAAAAAACATCCTTCTTTTTTTTTTTTTTTTTGTCTTTAAAGAAGAAATTGAACACGCAAAGAAACCGAAATGCCACTCAAAATGACGTGAGAACTTTTGTTACGGCTTATTTTCACCCCCATTGATTCATTCTGAAACTGCCTTTTTAGATTTTTTTTTTTCCTTAAATACCCCAGGAAAGGCGAGGTGAGGGGCCGGGGCGGGGGCACCCTCAGCTGGTGCTGCCTGGAAGACACAGCTCTCTCTGGAAAGGAAACCTGCCCCGAGTTTCTCTTCCCCACACCCATGGGCTCCCTCCAACCCCTTCCCACCCAGCCAGAGGGTGCAGAGGTGTTCTCTGTTTCTCTAAGTGGCCAGAAAAACTAGAATTTCTTTTTTTTTTTTTTTGGAGGGGGTAAAAAATAATAGAAAAAGAATAGAAAATTAATAGAAAAATTATAGAAAAAATAATAAAAAAAATAGAAAAATAATAGAAAAAATAATAGAAAAAGAATAGAAAATTAATAGAAAAATTATAGAAAAAATAGAAAAATAATAGAAAAAATAATAGAAAAAGAATAGAAAATTAATAGAAAAATTATAGAAAAAATAATAGAAAAAAATAGAAAAATAATAGAAAAAATAATAGAAAGAATAGTAAAAAAAATACTAGAAAAAAGGGCTTTTTTAAACAAAAAAAGCTCTGCAAAGCATCAGTGATGGCACTTTCTCTTCCCACGAATGAAGCGATGGGGAGCTGAAAGCAACTTGTGGGCATCGGGGCTGCGGATTGAGCCCGGGGAACTCGTAAAATAAAGCCCAAAAGAAAAAAAAAAAAAA